GGTCAACCATCATGTTTGAGGAAGGATAGAGGTCAACCATCATGTTTGAGGAAGGATAGTGGTCAACCATCATGTTTGAGGAAGGATAGTGGTCAACCATCATGTTTGAGGAAGGATAGTGGTCAACCATCATGTTTGAGGAAGGATAGTGGTCAACCATCATGTTTGAGGAAGGATAGTGGTCAACCATCATGTTTGAGGAAGGATAGTGGTCAACCATCATGTTTGAGGAAGGATAGTGGTCAACCATCATGTTTGAGGAAGGATAGTGGTCAACCATCATGTTTGAGGAAGGATAGTGGTCAACCATCATGTTTGAGGAAGGATAGTGGTCAACCATCATGTTTGAGGAAGGATAGTGGTCAACCATCATGTTTGAGGAAGGATAGTGGTCAACCATCATGTTTGAGGAAGGATAGTGGTCAACCATCATGTTTGAGGAAGGATAGAGGTCAACCATCATGTTTGAGGAAGGATAGTGGTCAACCATCATGTTTGAGGAAGGATAGTGGTCAACCATCATGTTTGAGGAAGGATAGTGGTCAACCATCATGTTTGAGGAAGGATAGTGGTCAACCATCATGTTTGAGGAAGGATAGTGGTCAACCATCATGTTTGAGGAAGGATAGTGGTCAACCATCATGTTTGAGGAAGGATAGTGGTCAACCATCATGTTTGAGGAAGGATAGTGGTCAACCATCATGTTTGAGGAAGGATAGTGGTCAACCATCATGTTTGAGGAAGGATAGTGGTCAACCATCATGTTTGAGGAAGGATAGTGGTCAACCATCATGTTTGAGGAAGGATAGAGGTCAACCATCATGTTTGAGGAAGGATAGAGGTCAACCATCATGTTTGAGGAAGGATAGGTTGGACTTGTCTTTATTCAACCTCAAATACTATGTAACTATAGTGGTCAACCATCATTTTTGAGGAAAGATAGAGGTCACCCATCATGTTTAAGGCAGGATAGTGGTCAACCATCATGCTTGAGGAAAGATAGAGGCCAACCATCATTTTTGAGGAAGGATAGAGGTCACCCATCATGTTTAAGGCAGGATAGTGGTCAACCATCATATTTGAGGAAGGATAGTGGTCAACCATCATGCTTGAGGAAGGATCGTGGTCAACCATCATGTTTGAGGAAGGATAGTGGTCAACCATCATGTTTGAGGAAGGATAGCGGTCAACCATCATATTTGAGGTAGGATAGTGGTCAACCATCATCTTTGAGGAAGGATAACGGTCAACCATCATGTTTAAGGCAGGATAGTGGTCAACCATCATGTTTGAGAAAGGATAGTGGTCAACCATCATGTTTTGAGGAAGGATAGTGGTCAACCATCATCTTTGAGGAAGGATAGCGGTCAACCATCATGTTTAAGGCAGGATAGTGGTCAATCATCATGTTTGAGGAAGGATAGCGGTCAACCATCATCTTTGAGGAAGGATAGTGGTCAACCATCATGTTTGAGGAAGGATAGCGGTCAACCATCATCTTTCAGGAAGGATAGCGGTCAACCATCATCTTTGAGGAAGGATAGCCTTCAACCATCAAGTTTGAGGAAGGATAGAGATCAACCTTCATCTTCTAGGAAGGAATGTGGTTGGTAATAAATCATGGCTATGATTAAGACTAAACCGCTGTGTAGCCTTCAGAAAACCTCATCGGGGAGCCAATCGGAAAACAAATGCTTCAGTTTGCTGGGGAGCATAAAGATTGGACTCCGGAGCAATGGAAAAAGGTCATGTGGTCTGATGAGTCCAGACTTACCCTGTTCCAGAGTGATGGGCACATCATGGTAAGAAAGGAGGTGGAAGAAGTGATGCTCCCATCATGACTAGGGCCTACCGTCCAATCCTGTGGGGGGCAGTGTTATGATATGGAGTTTGGTTGGTTGGTCAGGTCTGGGTGCCCAACAATTGAGGTCAGCGGCCTCTCTGAATATACTGAATGGCCAGGATTTTCCATCAATGGATGTTTTCTTCCCTGATGGCGCATTGGGCAAATTCCAAGATGACAATGCCGGGACTCATCGGGTTCAAGGAACATGAGACATCATTGTCACACATGGATTGGCCACCACAGACTCCAGCCCTTAACCCCAATGTCCATCTTTCGGATGTTCTGGAGAAAACTTTACACACAGTGCTCCGACTCTCCCATCATCACTGCAAAATCTTGGTGAAAAATGTAATGCAAATAAAAGTTGTGACATTACATACGCTTGGGGTCCTCTTTTTTTCTTTCTTGCAGTCAGGGGGCTTAGGCGTAGGGCTTCAATCACACCCCCGATATTTCCCACACAGACCATTTCCTGTACTCGATACAGAACACTTCCTGTACTCAATACAGACCACTTCCTGTACCCAATAAAGACCACTTCCTGTACTCAATACAGACCACTTCATGTACCCAATACAGACCACTTCCTGTATCCAACACAGACCACTTCCTGTACTCAATACAGACCACTTCCTGTACCCAATACAGACCACTTCCTGTACTCAATATTGAGCCCTTCCTGTACCCAACACAGACCACTTCCTGTACTCAATACTGAGCCCTTCCTGTTCCCAATACAGACCACTTCCTGTACCCAATACAGACCACTTCCTGTGCTCAATACAGACCACTTCCTGTACCCAACACAGACCACTTCCTGTACCCAACACAGACCACTTCCTGTACTCAATACTGAGCCCTTCCTGTACCCAATACAGACCACTTCCTGTACCCAATACAGACCACTTCCTGTACCCAATACAGACCACTTCCTGTACCCTACACAGACCACTTCCTGTACTCAATACTGAGCCCTTCCTGTACCCAATACAGACCACTTCCTGTACCCAATACAGACCACTTCCTGTGCTCAATACAGACCACTTCCTGTACCCAACACAGACCACTTCCTGTACCCAACACAGACCACTTCCTGTACTCAACACAGACCACTTCCTGTACACAACACAGACCACTTCCTGTACTCAATACAGACCACTTCCTGTACTCAATACTGAGCCCTTCTTGTACCCAATACAGACCACTTCCTGTACCCAATACAGACCACTTCCTGTACTCAATACTGAGCACTCCTGTGTTCACTCCAGAGCTGAACCCCGAACTGCTCCCTGCCTGTACCGGAGGGTTCCCACTCCTTCAGGGGCTGCAGGCACACACAAGGAGATGGGTTTTAGGAGAGCGAGCAGGGGCCTCCTAAAGATTTTTGCTGCTGCTATCACAATGGACCTGATGGGGCCACCGGTTAAGTCTGCTAGAGGCCATCAGTACATTCTGGTGGGTATGGACTATGCTACCCAGTATGCCAAGGCAGTTCCATTAGGGAACATTTCCTCCAAAACCATTACTAAAGAGTCCTTCCACATATTTACCTGCGTTGGGATCCCAAAAGAAGTCTCCACAGATCAAGGGTCTCCCCTTATGTCGCAGGTTCTGAAAGAGTTGTGCAAATTGCTGAACATTAAGCAGTTGCATACTTCAGTCCACCCCCCTCACGCAGATGGTTCAGGTGAAAGGTCTCATAAAACCCTGGAAGGTATGATGAAGAAAGCGGTGGACAAATATCGGAGAGCGTGAGATTGCCTTCTGCTTTATCTGTTGGATGTGATTAGAGAAATCCCAGTCTTCCACCGGGTCTTGGTATAGATGGACCTTCCAAGGCTTACTACAAATTGTAAAGGAGACCTAGGTAGGAAGACTACTCCCTGTAGGAGTGTGGTGAAGAAGTGGTGGTGTGGGAAGTCTTCCGGGTCTTGGTTTGTAAAGGAGACCTAGGAAGGAAGACTACTCCCTGTAGGAGTGTGGTGAAGAAGTGGTGGTGTGGGAAGTCTTTCGGGTCTTGGTATAGGTGGACCTCCCAAGGCTTACTACAAATTGTAAAGGAGACCTAGGAAGGAAGACTACTCCCTGCAGGAGTGTGGTGAAGAAGTGGTGGTGTGGGAAGTCTTCCGGGTCTTGGTTTGTAAAGGAGACCTAGGAAGGAAGACTACTCCCTGTAGGAGTGTGGTGAAGAAGTGGTGGTGTGGGAAGTCTTTCGGGTCTTGGTATAGGTGGACCTCCCAAGGCTTAACAAGGCTTACTACAAATTGTAAAGGAGACCTAGGAAGGAAGACTACTCCCTGCACGAGTGTGGTGAAGCATCTCCCAACTATGCAAGGCAGAATTGCTTGGGTTCTGCCTTGGGCCAGTGGACAGCATGCTCAGGAAACCCAGAGTTGGGTATACAATGGATCTGGCCAAGGTTTGAACTTCTCATCCAGGGGATCGTGTACTGGTTGGAATCTGGAAATGGACACCTTTCATAGGCGGGGATATCCAGCTGTTGTCCAGCATTTTACAGAGTGAGGTTCGGCAGATGAGGCTGACTCCGGAGCCCCGGCGGCCACTGTAAAATATAAATAAAAAAAGTCAGACCAGACAGGCCAGAGAAGGACCTGATGGGATCCACCACATGAGAGACACTCGATTAGGCTGATTCTACGCTAGGGTGAGGAAGAAACGTGTTGGACACATTCGGGTCTATAGAGAAGAAGACTGAAGAGTGATTGATATGTGAGGACAGTTCTGAAATATCGACGTTTCCCTCTGAAGACTTTGGATGATGGATCCCAAGATGGCAGATGATGAGAGTAGAGCGTATAGTCCCAGATCTGGTGAGCGGGAAACCTTTCTTAGGAGAAGACATCCAGAGGAGGACTGAACATGGAGAAAACATAGAAATACAGGACAGAGGAAGGGATGGATTCCCTCTGTGATACGGCATAGTTCCCGGAGAATCAGGAAGACTATCCAGGAGAAATAAAAGATTCTTCTTCATGAAAGTATCTGAGATATGTCCCAGAATTAAGACCAGATACCCTAGATTCATGAGTGGTTCCTTTGATTAGGTCAAGTAGACGTGTCAGTGTCTCTGTATTTAGGATGCTTGTAGCATGTTGTTGCCGTTTGAAGAGGTCACCAGAATGATATGTGATCCCTCTCGTGTTTCTACTGGTGCAAATACTACAAGGTGTAATAGACCAGGCAGAAGAAGAGGAGGACTTCCTGATGTCTCAGGGTCATCCCTCTAAGGCAGAACCAGGCACAGGAGCAGCATGAGTAGGAGGAGAACGGGGGGGTGGGGGGGGTGCTGGTGTCAGGAGGAGGATATAGGGCAGGCTTCCAAGCGTCAAGAGCTGTACGTGGGCATAGTTGGGGGCATAGTTCACAAGGTTGTGATCTGCAAACCAGAGGTCTTAAGTTCCTCTGCCTCTAGAAGGTGGTGGATGCACTCTTCATGCTTCAGTGCCTGCACAAGGACCCTAAGCAAGGAGAAAGACCATTACTGGTTGGCAACCCTTTTAGATTCAACAAAAAAATGCCAGAGCTCATCATAGCATCGCAGAGGGCGCAAACAAGGAAACATCTGGAATATGTGCTGCGGAGGAACCTCTTAATGTCCCTGCCAGGGTCTGGCAGCATCCCCTTACATGGCCAACAAGGCTTGGACCATCCTGTCACTGAAAGGAGAAGCAGTTGTAGCCGTGGCTGCCTAAACAAGGCCTTCAAGTCTTTCTTTAGTACACCATTCCCAGGGCTGTCTGCTGCCATATCTCTGATTATATGGGATCAAGGGCCTATGTTGGCACCCTCAGAATGGATGACCCCCCTTGACTTTTGGCTAATGAGGATGGACCACAGGCCAAACTTTGCCTTGTATCCAATTACACTCCTGAGCCAATGTGCTTTTAGAACCTGCATTTAGTCCAATGGGGGCGGAGCTTTGTGACTATAAGAAGAGTCCATGTCCCCAGACACAGTTGACCAGTTCACCTTTATAAAATTGATCCAGTCCTGGATCAGCAGTCAGTACCAACCCCCGCTGTTCATGTGATTTTAATTTTTATTTTTGGTTTGCCCTTAGATAATGCTTTTGGTCTCTGTTTTTAGTGCCTATTTCAGTGCACTGCCTCAATCAAGAATATTTGTGGATATAGTCTCCCTGAGATAGTGTTGTCCTCCATTAAAAACCTGCCTGGTCTCTCCCATCTGAAATTGCAGCCTAGCAAAAAGGCTTAAATACTGTGCATGGAATCTGTACAGTTGTTCAGGCTTGTGTCTCCATTTTTTGGACTTCCAGGATAAAAACCTGCCTGATTTATCCCAGTGAAATTGCATCCTGTTAAAAAGGCTTACATTCTGTTCATGGAACCTGTGCTCTTTTTCTGGCTTTCGTCTCGGAGAGCATACAATGTGATTTTTATTTCACAGGTAAAACCTGCCTGGTCTCTTTCTCTGAAATTGCATCCTAGTAAAAAGGATTATATACTGTGCATCAGATCTGTGCTATTTTTCTGGCTTTCGTCTCAGAAAGCATACAATGATTTTTATTTCACAGGTAAAACCGGCCTGGTCTCTCCATCTGAAATTGCATCCTATTAAAAAGCCTTACATTCTGTTCATCAAACCTGTGCTCTATTTCTGGCTTTTGTCTCAAAAAGCATACAATGTGAATTTTATTTCACAGGAAAACCTGCCTGGTCTCCTCCGCTAAAAATGCATCCTATTAAAATGGCTTTCATTCTGTTCATCAAACCTGTGCTCTATTTCTGGCTTTCGTCTCGGAAAGCATACAATGTGATTTTTATTTCACAGGAAAACCTGCCTGATCTCTCAGTCTGAAATTGCATCCTATTAAAAAGGCTTACATTCTGTTCATCAAACCTGTGCTCTATTTCTGGCTTTCGTCTCAGAAAGCATACAATGTGATTTTTATTTCACAGGTTAAACCTGCCTGGTCTCTCCGTCTGAAATTGCATCCTATTAAAAATACTTACATTCTGTTCATGGAACCTGTGCTCTTTTTCTGGCTTTTGTCTCAGAAAGCATACAATGTGATTTTTATTTCACAGGTTAAACCTGCCTGGTCTCTCTGTCTGAAATTGCATCCTATTAAAAATACTTACATTCTGTTCATGGAACCTGTGCTCTTTTTCTGGCTTTTGTCTCAGAAAGCATACAATGTGATTTCTACTTCACAGGAAAACCTGCCTGGTCTCTCCGTGTGAAATTGCATCCTATTAAAAAGGCTTACATTCTGTTCATCAAACCTGTGCTCTTTTTCTGGCTTTTGTCTCAGAAAGCATACAATGTGATTTTTATTTCACAGGTTAAACCTGCCTGGTCTCTCCGTCTGAAATTGCATCCTATTAAAAATGCTTACATTCTGTTCATGGAACCTGTGCTCTTTTTCTGGCTTTTGTCTCAGAAAGCATACAATGTGATTTTTATTTCACTGGAAAACCTGCCTGGTCTCTTCCTCTAAAATTGCATCCTATTAAAAAGGCTTACATTTTGTTCATCAAACCTGTGCTCTTTTTCTGGCTTTTGTCTCGGAAAGCATACAATGTGATTTTTTATTTCACAGGTAAAACCTGCCTGGTCTCTCCGTCTGAAATTGTATCCTAGTAAAAAGGATTATATACTGGTGCATCAGATCTGTACAGTTTGTCTGGATTTTGTCTCAGGAAACAAAGACACTATCATTTCTTTTATTCCAGGATAAAACCTGCCTGGTCTCTCCGTGTGATATTGCATCCTATTAAAAAGGCTTACATTCTGTTCATCAAACCTGTGCTCTATTTCTGGCTTTTGTCTCACAAAACCTGTGCTCTATTTCTGGCTTTTGTCTCAAAAAACATACTATGTGATTTTTATTTCACAGGTAAAACCTGCCTGGTCTCTATCCGTCTAAAATTGCATCCTATTAGGAAAGCTTACATTCTGTTCATGGAACCTGTGCTCTATTTCTGGCTTTTGAAATGGCATCCTAGTAAAAAGGATTATATACTGTGCATCAGATCTGTACAGTTTGTCTGGATTTTGTCTCAGGAAACAAAGACCTTATCATTTATTTTATTCCAGGATAAAAACTGCCTGATTTTTCTATTTTAAACTACATCCTATTAAAAAGGCTTACATTCTGTTCATCAAACCTGTGCTCTATTTCTGGCTTTCGTCTCGGAAAGCATACAATGTGATTTTTACTTCACGAAAAAAAAACCTGCCTGGTCTCTTCCTCTAAACTTGCATCCTATTAAAAAGGAGGAAGGATGGGAGGAGAGAGATGATCTTGTGGTTGGAGGATTTCTGGTTGTTATGATATATGGTTCTATCAGCTGATGAACTTATAATTAGAGTATACTACAGACCCCCTCCCCCGAGGATTTATGAGAAGGGGGAGAATTGGCTCCTTCGACAAGTAAAACAATAAAAACACGAGTATAAATGAAGAAAACTAAAACCAATGTATTAATAGAAATCTGAAAGCAGTTTTACTCAATCACCTTTCAAACAATATCCAGATTTTATGTATTTATACATTTTAATATTTATTTGTGATAAAAAACAACAACTTTGAAGTCTTTAGCCAACTCTGATTTCCATATAAAGACCTTTCCCGCACTCCGGACACTAATACACCTCCAGGGTTGTGTGGGTTCACTGATGTTTGGTAAGACAAGACTTACTCATGACAGGAATTAGGCTTCTCGCCCTTGTGGAAACTTTGATGTGTAACAAGTTCTGAGTTACGTGCATAACATTTTCCGCACTCATGGCACGAAAACGTCTTTTCCCGTGTGTGGCTTATCTGGTGTTCAGAAAGATTGGACTTGCACGAGAAAGATTTTCCACACTCTGGACATAAATATGGCTTCTCACCCGTGTGCAGCCTCTGATGTGTGTTAAGATTACACTTCTGTGAAAAACATTTACCACACTCAGGGCAGGAATATGGCTTCTCCCCTGTGTGAGATCTCTGATGTGTAACAAGTTCTGATTTTTCTGTACAACTTTTCCCACACTCAAGGCAAGTATATAGCTTCTCTGCCGTGTGTAGTCGCTGATGCCTGGAAAGATGGGTCTTCCGTGAAAAATATTTCCCACACTCAGAGCAGCAATACATCATCTCACCTGTGTGCAATCTCTGATGTCTAAAAAGACCAGTCTTATCTGAAAAACTTTTCCCGCACTCAGGGCAGGAATATGGTTTCTCCCCTGTGTGAGATCTTTGATGTCTAACAAGTTCTGAGTTCTGTGCATAACATTTTCCACACTCAGAGCAGGAGAATGGCTTCTCGCCTCTGTGCAGTCTCTGATGTCTGCAAAGACTGGACTTATCCGAAAAACATTTTCCACACTCGAGACAGGGATATGGCCTTTCCCCTGTGTGAGATCTGTAATGTATGTCTAGCTCTGATTTACGAAGAAAACATTTTCCACACTCAGGGCAGGAATATGGCTTCTCACCCGTGTGTAAGCTCTGATGCCGTAAAAGATGGGACTTCTGTGAAAAACATTTCCCACACTCAGGGCAAGAATATGGATTTTCTCCTGTGTGAGATCTGTAATGTATGTTCAGTTTAGATTTATGAAGAAAACATTGCCCACACTCAGGGCAGGAATACGGCTTGGCACCAGAGTGCAATTTCTGATGTCGCGAAAGGTGGGCCTTCTGTGAAAATCTTTTCCCACACTCAGGACAAGTGTATGGTTTTTCCCCTGTGTGAGATCTTTGATGTCTTACAAGTTCTGATTTCTGTGTATAACATTTTCCACACTCTGAGCAGAAATAAGCCTTCTCACTTGTGTGCAATCTCTGATGTCTAAAAAGCTTGGCCTTTTCTGTAAATTTTTTCCCGCACTCGAGGCAGGGATATGGTCTTCGCTTGTCTGTGTGACACCTCTGATGTCTGACCAGAGTTGATTTATTAAGAAAACACTTCCCGCACTCAGGACAAGAAAATGTCTTCTCCCCCTGAATTCCAGCCCCATCCCCCACAGTACGAGGTTGCTCAGAGTCAGAGGGATGCCATGGTCTCTCCACACTGTGACGTCCACCATCCATAGCTGAGCTCATTGTCTCTTCTCCCGCACAATCTGCTGTGACGTCCTCATCTTCCATCTTACAACCTGGAGATAAAGTCAGACGATCCTTTGAGGTTTCCTCCATGGCGTGTCCTGGAAACATAGAAACACATGATGGAGAGATATGAGAGGGTTACATGACTTCACTCAACATTCCATCTGGATCAGGAGGTCTGAGGGAGCGGATGTTCTATGAGGAGGTCCCAACCAGCCGGGACTCCTCCCCTTTTCAGTCAAAGGGCCTTTGGTTCACCCAGATCACTTTTACATTGACACAGCCTTGTCAGAAGAGGCGGGGCCAATGGGGACTGGGAGAAGAAGCTCTTCCCCCAACCACAAGACTAGGCACTGGGTCATGTGACCTCTGAGAAACAAGAAGAACAGAGTATAGACTTGCAGTCCCTCCTTCCAGATAACCGAAGAATATATTATGACCCACCTGTGCTGATCTCTGTAGGCGTGTCCTCCTCTATGGATGTCCTCATCATTCCGGCCTCCTCCGTATATCGCTGATCATCCCTCACATACGTCTCTTCTACTTCACCCTCAACTTTCATCTTCATCAGATCTTCACCCTAAACCAACAGTTTAGGAGGAGATCAGGAGGTGACATGGAGGTCGGGATGTGGGAGGATCTATGGCCTCCGGTTCATACTGAATCCGGACAGTTTAGTGTTTGGCCTCCTGGATCATAATTTCCAGTTTTGTTGAATTTCAGATATGCACGGAAGGAATGATAAATGGAATTCTTATTTTGCCTTCTTCAATGGTTTTGCTCTTAGGAATTGCTTTGAGGTCACTGTGATGTCATAGGATGTGGTGACTCTGGATACACCGCGTCTACAGGTATTCCTGTCTAATTTAGTACTTCCTCATACAATGTTAATAGATTGATATGACAAGAACGGTCCTTCATGGAACCATGTTGGTTACCAATTACACCAATTATATTTGTAATCTCGTGCATGTAGTCCCCTATCACGGCTTCCCAAATTTTACACACTATTGACAAGCTGACAGGCTGGTAGTTACCCGGAGCACTTTTCCCCTTTTTGTATATCTGTATCACATTTGCTCTCTGCCAACCAGCCGGGACCATGCCTGTCATTAGAGTGTTCGTAAAGATTATATACAAGGGTCTGGCTATGACCTGGCTAAGTTCCTTGAGTACCCGTGGATGTAACCCGTCATTAGAGTGTTCATAAAGACTATATACAAGGGTCTGGCTATGACCTGGCTAAGTTCTTTGAGTACCCGTGGATGTAACCCGTCATTAGAGTGTTCATAAAGATTATATACAAGGGTCTGGCTATGACCTGGCTAAGTTCCTTGAGTACCCGTGGATGTAACCCGTCATTAGAGTGTTCATAAAGATTATATACAATGGTCTGGCTATGACCTGACTAAGTTCCTTGAGTGCCCGTGGATGTAACCCGTCATTGGAGTGTTCGTAAAGATTATATACAAGGGTCTGGCTATGACCTGGCTAAGTTCCAGTAGTACCCGTGGATGTAACCCGTCATTAGCGTGTTCATAAAGATTATATACAAGGGTCTGGCTATGACCTGGCTAAGTTCCAGTAGTACCCGTGGATGTAACCCATCATTAGAGTGTTCATAAAGACTATATACAAGGGTCTGGCTATGACCTGGCTAAGTTCCTTGAGTACCCGTGGATGTAACCCATCATTAGAGTGTTCGTAAAGATTATATACAAGGGTCTGGCTATGACCTGACTAAGTTCCTTGAGTACCCGTGGATGTAACCCGTCATTAGAGTGTTCATAAAGATTATATACAAGGGTCTGGCTATGACCTGGCTAAGTTCCTTGAGTACCCGTGGATGTAACCCATCATTAGAGTGTCCATAAAGATTATATACAAGGATCTGGCTATGACCTGATTAAGTTCCTTGAGTACCCGTGGATGTAACCCGTCAGGTCCTGGTGATTTGTTTACATTTAGTCTTTCCAGCCTCTGTATTACTCTCCGACACTCACTGAGACACGCAAAATCTGGTACTGCTATCTCCGCACCTGATCGACGCCGGCGTCCGTCTCGCCTTCTTGCCATTTATAAATCTGTGATCTCCTTGTTCTTCCCGGAGACTTTGCTGGTCACATTTTTGGGGTGATTTCCTGAGACTGGGATAGTTAAGTAAACATCTGGAAATGTACATTAACCCTTCAGGGTCACTTACGGGGAGGGGAGATTTCCTTCACTCGGGAGAGGTCACGTTTCCACCAATGTCCTCATCAGTCTGTTCTAATGGATTCTACAGATTGTATTGGGTGCGGGGGGATGGGGGATTCATTTCAGTGTGGATTTTAATATATATGTCTTTATTTTGGGAGCTTTTTATGAAAAACTATCACTATATATGTGTGTGGAAGAATCTGCCGGAGATAAAAGACGTCGCAGTGACTATGGAGGACGAGGACAGACATGACGGGGGGGGGGGGGGGGTTACTGGGTGTAAATATAAAATAATATCTCATTACCTCCTCTGCTGCCAGTTCCAGCAATGTCTCCTCTACTTCCTCCCAGCTCACCTCTCACCCGGAACTTCCTATTTATAGGTGACATCACTTCCTGTCATAGAGACTTCCTGTCTGGGTAAATGTGAGATCGCCACCTGGTGGAGCTCAGATGAACTGCTGCCCCTAGAAACCTCTCGTAGTGTGAACACGACCTTGTGCTGTGTGTGTATGTTCTGTATATCCTTCTAGATGGGTCATCTCCACCCCACCGAGAGGGATAGAAGTATATGACTGATAGGGATCAGTGGAGGGATTTACATTTCCTGTCCAGAAAAAAAGTCACCCCCTGGATGTAGCTCAGCATGTAGGTGCGAGTCTTCCATTGGATAATTCCTGCTGTGATTAATATGTTTCATCCGGCAACAAGTTATTTAACCCTAAAGTGAGGAGCTTCTCATGTCTTGAACTTAGAAGGACCTTATTGGCTGGCATCAAGCAAAGAAAACAACTTGAGAGATTATTGAAACTACTAAAATTGAGTGGAGATCTGTCCAACGCACTATTAAAACCTGGAAGGATAGTGGTCAACCATCATCTTCGAGGAAGGATAGTGGTCAACCGTCATCTTCCAGGAAGGATAGAGGTCAAACGTCATCTTCGCGGAAGTATAGAGGTCAACCATCATCTTCCAGGAAGGATAGTGGTCAACCATCATCTTCCAGGAAGGATAGAGGTCAAACGTCATCTTCGAGGAAGGATAGAGGTCAAACGTCATCTTCGAGGAAGGATAGAGGTCAAACGTCATCTTGGAGGAAGGATAGTGGTCAACCATCATCTTCGAGGAAGGATAGTGGTCAACCATCATCTTCCATGAAGGATAGTGGTCAACCATCATCTTCGAGGAAGGATAGAGGTCAAACGCCATCTTCGCGGAAGTATAGAGGTCAAACGTCATCTTCGAGGAAGGATAGTGGTGAGCAATCATCTTCGAGGAAGGATAGTGGTCAACCGTCATCTTCCAGGAAGGATAGTGGTGAAGGTGAACCATCATCTTCCAGGAAGGATAGTGGTGAACCATCATCTTACAGGAAGGATAGTGGTGAACCTTCATCTTCCAGGAAGGATAGTGGTCAACCATTGTCTTCCATTAAGGATAGTAGTGAACCATCATCTTTGAAGAAGGATAGTGGTGAACCATCATCTTCCAGGAAGGATAGTGGTGAAACATCATCTTCCAGGAAGGATAGTGGTCAACTGTCATCTTCCAGGAAGGATAGTGGTGAACAATCATCTTCCAGGAAGGATAGTGGTCAACCATCATCTTCCAGGAAGGATAGTGGTGAACCGTCATCTTCCAGGAAGAAATGTGGTCGTAAAAAAATCTTGAATGATTGGAGATCCCTTAACCGTTTGGTGAAATCAAATCGTAAAAAATCAACTCACCGCTATGTGTAATAGTGAAAGTGAACGCATTTCCGCACGCACAATGTGAAGAGAACCCGAGGGATCGGGACTAAACAGCTGTGCAGCCTTCGGAAAACCTCATCAGGGGGCCATTTGGGGAAAAAAAGTCTTCAATTTGCTAAGGAGCCTAAAGACTGGACTCCGGAGCAATGGAAAAGTGACGGCTGCTGCAGTTGGGGGTTCGGACGGGATGATCTGGCCACTTAGTTTGCCCATTTGGCGAACCTCCAACAGCTAGAGATCATGATGGACTCGCCACCAACCCAAACCCAGATGCTGAAAGAGAAGGTGATTCCCTGTTCCACCTGCACTTGGGTGTGGGGCCCTGATCTCTACTACGGCAAAGGTTGACTGTTGGATATATCTGATGAGGACAGTGTGGGGATGTCACATGTGACCCATGCCACCACTGCCTGTACCATAAATGGGGTCACCACAGGGCTTGGAAAGCCACACGGGAAGGTTTTCATCAAGCATATTTCCTTCTGGTTACGCGCTTCTATGGTTAGACATACGGAAGGCATCAACACCCGTTTATGACCATATCTGCTCTTCGCGCTCTGGAAATTGGGATTTCAGGACCATCTTCTCCTCTGGATCTCAATCTTCTATTATTGTCCCAAGAAGAATGTTGATTCCAGTGGCTCTCTCTGACACTTGAATTCTGACGGGGGGAGGGGCTAGACAATGGCGCCCTCTTTCCCCTATACTCCTCATCCTTGCTTAGGAGCCTCTCGCTATGGTAATCTGGTCACACCCTGATATAAAGGAGATGAAGTAGCAGACACTCATCATATACTGATGCTCTTCCTGGATGACAATCTGCTGCTTATTTCTGATCCACCTATGTCTCTGCCCGACCTCTTCTCATCCCTCTCTGCATTTGCAGATGTTTGGGGCCTACACGGAAAGGAGATCAGAAGCTTGGAATGTCCCATCGGATCCACACACTCTTTCCACAGTTCAGACTAACGACCCATTCCAATGGTCCTCTAAGCTGCTGTACCTTGGAGTTCATCTTTCTGACCCACCTATGTCTCTGCCCGACCTCTTCTCTTCCCTCTCTGCATTTGAAGTTGTTTGTGGCCTACATGGAAATGA